TCCCTACAAATTTTAAAGCATATATAATGTATGTAATTTTAAATTAAATTTTAAATGCATTCATAAATAAAATAATATATTTACATAAGACTCTATGAGTTAATACGTTTGGAATTCCATAATAATTTTTAATACATGTTAATATTAACATTTAAATATACTTTTATATTAGAGATTTAATATTATTTTTTTTTTCATCAGAATGAATATAAAAGAAAATATGACTTTGCTTTAAAGAAATGCTGGACAATTTGTGTACCATGTACAGATTCTTTGAGAGAAATTTCTATTACAAATGAATTTATTGGTAAGGAATATTATTTAAGGAAAGAATTTTTTAATTAATTATTCTTGAATTAGATTAAAAAATATTTTATGAACCGAATGAAATAATAGTTATTAATTCTTTTCAGACGATCACGTGCTAAAGCCAGATTCAGAATCAAATACACAATTTAGATCCACTGATGAAGGAGAGACACATTTGTATAAAATAGATAATTGTGTAATAAAATTAATCAATGATGATGAATCGAATCATGATTATAAAGTTAATATTTTATCATTTGAAAAGGGCTATAACAAGGAATATCAAGCGTATAATATGATAATTGTGGATAAACCAGTACACAGAAAATACAGAATAATAATAACACAAATATCACAATCCGATAAATTGGAATTAAATAGAAATATTTTATCACATAAAGAGTAAATCAATAAATATATACGCATACATAAAAATATTAATTTAAAATACCATGTTTTTTATAATTAATTTTTTTATCTATATTTCTTTTAGAGCGGTAAATTTTTTAAACGAACTTCAAAATAAAAAATTACTTAATATAAGTGATTTAGTATTCAAAGTTAAAAGTATTGATATAAATCAAAATAATTCCATGGACGATTTAAAACAAATATTGCAAAAGTTAATTTGTAATTACTGGGCGATTATTATGCGCAAACAAAAATTAGATATTCAGCGTGACGCACGTTTTCAAAAATTATTAAGCATATCTTTAGAAATATTTGTTATGCACCAAATACACGATACCTTATATTTTATACTTGGTAATTTATTCAATCAGCAAGACTTAGGTATAAGAACAAAAATCGATCACATAATTGACGCCAGCGTTTCGCTCGATCATTTGCGTGTAAAAGAATCGTTTCCTATTTCAATGCCAAACTCAATGACAGAACTGGGTAACTAATTAATTTCATTACAAATTAAAAATAAATTAAAAACAATGTTAACATAAAAAATGTTGATTATTAATATCATGTAGACAAAGATTAGTGTTGATTTTAATTTGTTAATTATTATCTTATTGCAATATTTAGCAATAATATTTTTAATTAATACTCAAAGATACATTACAAATTATTATGCGTGTATGTTATGTATGAAATTCAATGAATATATTTATTTTTTAAATAATTAGCAACTTTAGATTCTCATAAAGGACCTCACGAAAAATTGACGTGTATGAAAAGAACGTTGGATATTATTATTGCAGAGTTTAAAGGTGCCATAGCTGATATGAAATCTCGAAATGACTTTTTCAATGACAGTAATGACGGATCGAATACTAATTTACTAAATTCAGATGATTTGATTCCTTTGTTACTTTATATTATAATCAAATGTCGATCTCAGAAACTTCATACGAACTTGTATTATATTGAAAATTTTATCTGGTCTATAACACCTCATGATGATCTATCATATACATTAGTAATTTACAGAGCAGCCTTAAAATTACTTGAACAAATTGTGCATAAATAACTAAAAAACTAAAGTAACAAATAACTTTTAAACATCCACGGCAAATTTCTTAGACAAGATCTAGTTAAAGTAGATAAAGTTTTTATTACATAAATTTTAGTATGTAGACGAATGTATAAATCCTCGATAGAGTGTAAAATTGCAACCATGCATTTTTCTTTAAGAAAATGTAAATAATAAACTTTGTATTTTAAAAATTAAATATATTTTTTCAAGTTGTACAATTTTAAATTTAATCCACCTGTATATACATTTACGATTTTCTCATCTAAAGTTAATTTTTACAAAAATTTTTATTAATTATCGTATTTATATTTATATATTATCAAAAATGTTTTGTAAGGTAGCGAGAGATTTTATAATTAATTATAAGTCGCTTTTAAATCATTATTTGAATACTTTTTATAATTTAAAATAATAAAATAAAAATTCTTTTTGTCAGTTTCGTAAAATGCTTACAGTAATATAATATACTAATATACATTATATTTCAATTGTACATATACTTTACATATCGCAACGATTACAATTCGCAGGACGCTAAACAGAAAATATAATCTTAATTCAGAGAATACATCTTAGTTACTATAAACGTATATACATCACGTCAGTCTTTAGTTTCATACTTCTAATTATTAATGATTGTCCATTATGAGATTACCATCTTTATCTTTAAGACGAATTCGTCCATTAGCGTATCGAGTTTCCTGGATCCCATTAGGATAGATGAGCTTTACAGTTCCGTCGAGATACTCTCGTCTCTGCAAAAATATAACATTTTCTTTATCTTTCATAATTATAAAACACTGCAATTCAATTTCGCTTGCAATACACTTATTTTTCATAAAAATTTACTAGTCTTTATTTGTTTATTATTGTATATGATGATTTATAATAGCGATTTTTTTAAATTGATAGTTAAATTATTTAATATCTAAATTAAGAACAATTTTTTTCGTATCTTTATTTATTTTTAAAAAGTAATTATAATTTTATTTAAAAAACTATCAATGTAAAAAATATAACTACAAATTTTTTATATTAGCCAGTTGTATCGATTAATACAATTATCTTAAATCAAAATATTTCTTAATTGAATTAATAAAGTAACATTATTTTTCTGCAAATTAACGATAAGTAACGCTAAAATAATGATATCTATTATATTATTATAATGTTTTTAATGAAAAAATGTAATTAAAAATAAATACAATCATAATTACTTTGTGTTCTTTAGTGTGAATTTCTCTTTGCCCGTTTGGTAAAATAAGTATTTTTTCTCCATCGGCCGAAGTTTCGGCAATAGTTCCATCCCGTAAAGCCCATTTTTCAGATCCATCAGTTTGAACTATTTTTACGGAACCATCGGGGAAAGATACTTCAATTGTACCATTTTTTGATTTACGTTCAACTTGACCACTGAAATAAATATAGTTAATAATGCATTACCAATCACTATTGAGGTAGAAATTTAAATAAATATAATTAAACAAACATCATAAATTAATTTAGGATATAGAAATTACTTGTATTATTAAGAAACCTGAATATTTATAATCTAATCAAAGCATTTAATTTTCATTTCATTAAACACAAGCTATTTAATACACGTAATCTAAATAATAATGTATATTTATCATAACCGTTATTATTATTATCATCCAATACATAAGTAATTCATTAATTTAATTACTTTTTTATATATGTGCTGATTATTTTACTTCTAATGTAAATACAAATATCAATTTCATTATTTTCTGACTCGTTATTGTAAAATAAATGTGAATAAAGTTTTAAAAATAAAACTATACTTACTCAGGAAATTCTAAAATTTCCAGACCATCCGACATAGTTGTATGCCATGTTCTTAAACTGGCATAAAAATATTTAACATTGCCATTTTTGTCAGTCTCGCTAACATCACCATTGTAATAAATTATTTTAGTGAGAAACTTATCTGGAAAAACTTTCTTAACATTACCATTAGGATACCAGTATTCGATATGACCATCGGGATGATTGACTTCCCTAATACCTTGTTTATTGTCAGTACATTGTGCACGTTCAACTTTGTTATTTCTTTCGTCGTTAAACTTATTCGACTCCTCTTGCATTTCTTGCAATAATTTAGGGCTTGCAGCATTAATTGGATACATATCATCTTCAATTATCTGGCAATCATAATTATTTTCTTCGTAATTTAAATAATCTTCCGTTTTTTTATCAGATTTAACATATTTATCAATTAGATTTCTTTTTCCAATTTTAATTTCTGGAAAATCTTCGGTTGCATCTTTTAATAAGCTCTCGTATAGATTTCGCGTTCTTGCAATACTTTCCGCGGTTTTCAAAATTTTCACTTTTTCGATGTCCTTTTCTTGCTGCTTTTCTTCCAAACCCATATCATAATTGCCAATGTTATTTGAATTTTTTAATTCCTCTTTTTTACGATCCCCTAATACTTTATTAATGTGATTAATAGCTCGTGTATTTGTCGTGGTTGTTGGTTTTTTTAATTTAGCATTTTTCTTTTGTTGAATTTTTTCTAATTCTTGTTTCAATTTTGAATTTTCCGTTTGTAGAACTCTTATTTGACTTCTTTGTCTGGCACTAGTAGCTGACCATTTGCTCTCTTTTTGATCATATTCTTCCTTAAGATCTTCCAATTGATCTTTCAATGTTTGAATTTCTTGTCGCTCCTGTTTACTTTTTTGAGCCTTTTCCCAAGCATCTTTCATTCTATTTTCTAATGCAAGTTTCTCTCGTGTCAAGCGTTTTTTCTCTTCTTGTAAAATAGTCTCTGTTTTTCGTTTTTCCATTTCTAGCGTTTCTTCCTTTTCTTTCATAATTCGCAATATATTTGTATGTTCTTCGTGTAATTTTGTTCGCTCTTCTTGAAGTTTCTGCTTTTGAAATGTCAATGCCGCACTTTCTTTACGAAAGATTTCAATTTCCTGTTCTAATTCTAAAAGACGAGTTTTTAAAAGTTGAGATTTGAATAATGATGTATTTTCATTTTTTTCCTCGATTACAGTGTCATCATTTTGCAAAGTTACATTTTTTTGTTCGATTTCATTTTCATTTTCCTCTTCATTTTCTACTTCATTTTTAAAGTCAATATCATCATCATAGCTATTATCTTCAATTTCTTTTATAAAATTAGGAGATATTTTATTATTGTCATTGCATTTAGCGTCAGGTTTTAATTGTAATGATATAATACTTTCCATATCCGATGAATCTGGGGTGACTGAGCTATCGGACCAAGTTCCTTTATTATCAGTGTAATTTATAATGGTTTCTGAATCACTTGAAACGCTCGAAGCATCTGTCATGGTCTTGTATTCATTATGCTCAGAAAATCTCACGTGAAGACTCACGCTATTCTCATCCTATAAAAAAGCTTCTTTATATTAAAAAAAAAAAAAAGAAAAAGAAAATACTTTTAGAATAAATTATTTAATTTATTTCTATTTTATATTCTTACATATTAATGAAAATTTTTAAAAAAAAAAAAGCTACTGAAATAGGCTAATTATAATTAATAACTTACTTCGCTTAGATCTTGATTCATAACATAATCATCGTATTGTTCATCTATATCAGTTCCATAAGGAAGTATAGTGCCAGTAACAGTTTTATCCTCTTTCATTTTTGATATTGGAACTTTATCCCAATGTATATGCTTTTGATCCTTAATATTTTCTTTAGACTGTGGTGTTTCTAAGTGACTAGCCTTGGCTGCACATGCTATCTTTTCCAAAGTTTTGTCGCCTATATCGTGGAGGGAAATTTTATGTTTTGAAGCACTATGCAAAAGAGCTTTATGTTTTAAAGGTGTTGACTGTTGTAAAAAAGCTATAACTGTACTTGATGTCGAACAGAAACTTGAATTTTCTGCTTTATCTTCAAGAAATTCAAATATTCTAACTTCATCTAGTTCTCGTTTATTTTTAATTTCAAGATCAGAACTATTAGTATCAGATATTATTTCTACAGGATTTTTCTTGTCAACAATTGAATTCAGCATAGAACCAATAGGTTTACCGCGAGTTTTCTTTCTAGGTGGTGGCACATTTTTAATAGTTAATTTTGGTTGAGAAATTGATACAGAATTTGCATTTAATTTCTTGGATGCATCAGTTTGTTTTGATCTTGGTAAAGAATTACATCTTTCAAGCTTTGTTGCTCTAGATGCTTTATTATTATTCGATTGTGTGGCAATAGAAAGTGATGCGCTTCTAGGTCTTCCAGTACCTCCAGAATTTGAATTAGGCATAAATCTAGCAAGACCTTGTCCTTTTTTAAGAAACGGTCTCTTAAATACTGGTTTATTTTTATTTTTAATATTCGCACCTTCGTCGTCTTTTAATCTTTCTTCTAATAGCGTATTAAAGTCTTTTTTAGGAGATGGAACCGGTATGTCATCGAGTAATATACGCTGCCTATCAGACATCCTAGAAGAATATGATTGTGTACTATCTATAGAATATTGTGAATTATAACTGTCTGGATTATATGAATTATTACATTCTAAGTTTGATTCTAAATTAAAATTTTTATTTTTTACATTTAATTGTACTTGTGGTTCTTTTAAATTTAACTTATTGTTTTTTTCATTAGTCAAAGTAACATAATGTGAAAAATTATTTCTTTGTGATTCACATTGTTCATCAGGTGTATTAAAATCTATTAAATCTGAAATTATCTCTTCTTTATCTTGTCCTATTAATTCTTTTAAAGATTGATCATTCAAATTCATTTCTTCAACTGACAAACTTAAACTATGATATATACGATTTTGTTCATTACTTAGTTGTTCTCGTTGCTTTTGCTGCTGTTTTATTAATTCTTCTTTTCGTTGAGTTTGCCATTTTTGAAGTTCTTGAAGTTGTTCTACGATAGTTGCTTCGATAGCCATTCCAATGTTTTCATAAGGAATCTAATAAATAACAATCGAAAATGTAAAATCTAATTTATAAGCAAGAACAATGGCTTGAATAATGAAATATTATAAATTCATAAATAAACAAATCAATATTAAATGGCGATATTTATTATATTGTAAATTACTTACGAACATCAATTATCCGACCGCCAACCCTCTAACGGTAAACTCGTATATAATTATTTTAGTATATTAGTTAGACAGCCGTTACAATTTTAAATTTGTATTGATAAACATAAAAACTAATTAAAAAAATGGCTTATTTTTATTTACAAAAAAATATAATTTTTTCAAACGAAATCAGAATGACGTATTTTAATTTGCTCAATTAAATTTTTGAGTTTTCTCAGAAATTGTCTTCTACTATATATAATAAGTTATATCTTAATCTTATAATTATATAATTTTGTTTTTAATTTTTGGTATCATTACTTTTAAATATCATACATTATAAACGCTAAAAAAATATCTCACAAACTTGAAGCCAACGTGTAAATATAAAATTATTTAATTACATAAAATTAAAATATTTTATTTTTGAAAATTAAGATACTTGATAATACCGTATGAAATGAGTAATGGCTTATAAGGCGGTAAAAAAATAAAATTTCAAATTGATGCGTCAAAAAAAAAAAAAAAGGTTGAAAAATTTCAAAGTAATTTAATTATTTAAATATTTAAATTTTAAAAGGAATATTTTATGATTTTATAATAAATTACATTATGCAAATATTCACATATTTGGGTATATTATGTACATGGTAGTTTAAATCGTATGTTGAATTAAATGTTGATAATAAAAATTAAACGTTTAAAAACATTAATTATACAGACAATAATAGAAGTACAAGTAGGGTGAAATATAAAGGCGAAAGCTATTCATTAAAAGGATACTTCAAAAGAAAAGAAATAATTCGTATATTAATTATCAAGATAAAAAATAAAAATGTTGAAAGAACAAATCGTAAACTGATCTTATTGATTCGTCCTTTTATCTAATATCAAAAAAATAAATTGACGTTCTATTACATTATCAGGCTAGACTTTTAAAATTACAAAATTAATTATATCAAGATTATAGGTGAACAAAATTGTCAATATTCGCAATCTAAAATTTTCAAAAAATAAGAATGGTATTACCAAAATTTTTAAATATTTTTAAATTCTAACTGTTAAAACTATGCAACTTTAGCATACCAACATAGATGTATCATCAATAAATTCATAATATGTATAATTTCATTTAAAGTTTTTGCATAATAAGCAATAATTAAATTGTTACAAAATTTATATATATAAAATCAATACGTATGCTCTAAAATATAATTAAAAATCAAAAATATAACAAACTTAATAATTTCAGATTATTTTTCTAAAGTAATATAAGATCAAAACTAAGATAAAATCAATTTCCTTAAAAAATTGTGAATATTCGTAATTTTTCAAATATCTTCAGTTAAATTAAATATACAATAATTGTAAATGAATATTTTCAGTTTAGTGAATTTTGATTATTTATTAATATGAAATGTACACCTTTTTATTATAAATTTTGTTTTGCTAATCAAATAAAATAATCAATGTAAGTAAAATTAATTGTATGGCTATCTACAGGAAATAATTATTTTTTTCAAGTTTTTTTGGAGTAAAAATATATAGCGCGCAATATATGTATTTAGGTCGTACATAAATAAATTGTTCAAAAACTGCATGTAAAATGCTTTTCTTTAAAATGCCAAAATTCCTTATCTACCACCTAAATTATTCTGTCAATAAAAAATAAAAAAAAAAAAAAAAAAAAAAAAAAAAAAAAAATAAAAATAAAATAAAAATAAAAATAAAAATAAAATTAAAAGCTATTAAACAATATTATAATACAATTGTAATTTTATTCGAATATAAATGTATAGCCACACTTAGGGAAATATCGCATTAAATATAGATTTTTAATTTGCTTTCATCATAAAATACAGCATTTATTTTTAAAATATAATTATTTTAATTTTTAGATTAGTTTGCATGTAAAAATTATCTATATTCGTGTTGCTTGTTTGAAAAATTAACAAAATAATTACTTTAATAGCAAATGCTTTGAATTCTAGCATTAGAGTAATAATCTTCATTGATATATTTGGCAACTATTTACTTTGTAATAAATGCGATAAAAATTGTAAATAAATCATTTTATTTAATAATTCCGACCTTTTGTAGAACTGAATATTTGTATTGCGAGTATTTGCCAGAGCCAATAAAATTATATTTCCGTTGTCAATACTAACAAATAACTGAATTGTTTATTTCATTAGTTTATAGTCTATTGCATTGAGAAGTTGAATAAATTGGAATTAAATAGATAGAAATTCGAGTTATTATGTAAAACATTTCCAATTTTCTACATTATCACATATTAAATACCGTTTAATCAGGTTTAATGTACAAGTATCTCATTGTATCTTATCTTTTAAAAGATGGTTACAACGTTCAGATTTGTGCACTGATCTGTCAAACTCAGGTGATTATGACGGATAATAAAATTATAATTTGACGATTTCTCATAACTATTGCATACAAATTTATTAGAAAAAATTTTGGAATAAAAATATCGTTATTATGGTTAATGTTTTTTTTTAATTACCAATATTATATGTTATATTACATATTTATTTTCTTTTATTTATCATAAATATATTAGTCTTATATAATGTAGAATAATATTTTCACTATTAATTATATACTTTAATTAAATAAACAGATTCTATTATTTAGGAATAAAAATTAGAATCATTTAATAATTCCATTAATAATATAAGTTCTTCTTTTTTGTTTGTAGCTTAATCTACTAATAATTACTATAATAATTAGACAATTATATTTTGTTTTGATATTTTATTTACTTGATATTTAGCTTATAATACTTATTCTATATTTATAATACTTTATATAATTTTATAATATATTTTATATACTCAAATTATGTTGATGACATTTTGAAATTGTGAAATGCTTATTATCGATAAAATTAATGGAAATTAAAATGAATATATTTAAATTAAAATATAATTTTAAATATGCTAATTAATATCTATAGTATTTAATACTTATTTCTAATATAATTTTTAAAGTTTATATTGAATAATTTAAGATTGAAGTTCATTACTTCAATAAGTTATAAAATGGCATGGCACTGCTCTGGAATAACAAATGAAGAGATGGTATCAAAGCTGAAAGGTAGGATAATGAAAATTCTTATTTCTTCTGAGGCTTAATTATAAATAATCATGAATGAACGTTTCTAGATGCCAATATAATTAAGAATAATAAAGTAGAAGCTGCTATGTTATCTGTAGATAGAGCTAAATATTGTCATGATTTAAATCCTTATCAAGATCGTCCTAGAGGAATTGGTTTTAGCGTTACCATTAGTGCTCCACATATGGTAATTATTATGTGTTTACATTATATTTATAAATCAATTAGACATGTTTATTATTGGAATTATAATTATTTGAATAATATTTTAAGTCTAATTTAAAAATTACTGTAACAATAAGATTTTTCATTTCAGCATGCGTATGCATTAACATTTTTGTTAGATCAACTTTTCGACGGTGCCAAAGCTTTAGATATTGGTTCGGGCTCTGGCTACTTGACTGCGTGTATGGCCCATATGGTTGGAGTACACGGACTAGTTATTGGTATAGATCATATTACGGAACTTGTTGAAATGTCAATTCAAAATGTTGAAGAAGACCATCCTGAATTTTTGCAAGATGGACGTATAAAATTTTTAGGTATTTTGTTCTATTATAAAAGTTGTAAAAATTTGTAAGTTATAATAATTTATCTAATATTATCAAACTTACTTTTTTTTTTTTTTTTTTTTTATAAATATCTGTAAACATCAGGAACCCAACTAACTGATTAATTATCATTTTATATTAGTCTTAAAATATATGATAATTGTATATTGTTAGACATGATATATTTGAAATTAGAATGAAATGACAGGCACATAACTATAAAAGTAAGTTTTATTTTAAAAAATTTGAAAAAAATACTTCAACGTCAACACTTTTAAATATTAATTTAATTTAACAATCGTTTCATTTTATTTAAAAATGTTAATTTTGTATATTATGCTATAAAATTTTCATAAGTTCATAAAAATGGAATGGAAAGTAAACGTTTTTTTTTATAAGTGAATTTAATGGTTTGCTTGCACACCTAGAATAATTTAAATGTAAAATATAAGTAGTGTAAGTCTTGTGATTATTGCAATCAAATCAAGCTTGTTGCTTTCGATACCTTAAATAAAACTATCTTTGGTGTGACTTTGTTGTTTATGTAAAGATAGGCCCAAGACTAACATCAAGTCATTGTGAATGCATCTAGAAGGAGATGGCAGATTGGGAGCTCCAGCCTATGGTCCTTATAACGCTATTCATGTTGGTGCCGCTGCTGATTCAGTGCCTTATAAGGTAAATGGTTTTTATATGCAATTAATATGATTTTTCTATTTATATTAAAAGATGAAGTGAAAAAAATGATTTCTATTATGTTCATAGCTGATTGATCAGTTAGTTCCTGGTGGAAGATTGATTTGTCCAGTACTTCTAAAAGAAGGATCTCGGAAATATCAAAATTTATTACAAATAGACAAAAATTTAGATGGCTCGTTAAAGAAAACAAAATTAATGGATGTTACATATGTCCCTTTAACCGATACAAAGACTCAATTACAAAATTCTTCATAGAGTAAGATAAAAAGTATTAACATCTATATCACCTAGAATTTTGAGAAATTTACAAATTAATTCAGTTGCATTTGTTTTTACACAATTATGTAAAAATTTAATATCAATTTTGTTATAATGATAAAATAATTTTCATAAGATTTCGTAAATAAGATTTTCTGTATTAATACTTCAAAATAAATTATTGATATATCAATAGGATATTAAATAGATACTATATAATGTACAGTATTTTATAAGCAAACAAAATTTATTTAATTGTTTTTAATAAAATTTTATAATTAAAATTTATAATCAAAATTAATTAAATTTGTTGTATATGGAACTTAAATGGTGAAATACATTTAATTACATGTTGTAATGAAATAGCCAGTGACCGATAATACCTTATAATATTATTAAAATGAAAATTACTGTGTTGGCGAAAAACAGATTTCTAAAATAATATTCAAAACATGTGATTCTTTTCTTTTTTAATTAAAATTTAATCTATACTAATAAATACATAATATTTTAATATATTTTAAACAGATTTTGATTTAATAAAGAAATTTTTTTTAATTTGAATCGTTCAACTTTTTATTATCTTTCTAAAATTATCAACTAAGCATTAATAATTCACGAGGGACAACAAATTACTATTACAATAATTAACAATACCAGTATAAGTAAATGCTAAAAGTATTGTATTATTAAATATTAGATTCATAAACATAAAATAATAGCTAAACAGAATTATTTTAAACAATGTAAAATTAAAATTTTAAAATGTACACTGTATGAAATTATAGAATATTTACTCTTTACCAAAATTTAAACTAATTACATTATTTAACATTATTATTTATCGTAAAAAATATACAAGAAAATAATAAGTTGTAATTTTCGATATTCAGTGTGAATAAAATAAAAAGTTTATTTTCAGTTTCTCTTTATAAAAAGACAAATTACCTCGATATAATGGAACGACATTATGAAATTCAGTAATTAGTTGAGTATTTGATTGTATTTATGTAACGAGTAAAAAATATTTCCAAATACCTAAGTGACTTGGATTTATAAGGCATTTAAATATTTGAATAATATACATTTATTTTTGGAATAATTTATAAATTCAAATTTGTAATTTGCTCACGATATTATTGCAAAAATTAAATGCATACCTTGACTAGGTAATAATTAAACATTTGAAAACATGCAAACTCAATTTTTTAAACACTTAATATCATAAATATTAACATGAATATTGTTATTAAGCCTTAAGATATTAAATAAATACAATCTTAATGCATAAATAATTGTATTTGCAAATCATTGCATTGAATACAATAGTTTAATGATTTTTTAATTGAGATATCAATATAAAGTGCGAAAGGAAGAGATCTATGTAAAAGATACTTAATGATAATGAATCAATGAGTCGATAAGAAATTGCGAGAAAACAGTGTAGTGAAATTATCTGTTGAATGTAGTTATTACGCCTAGTTATTTGATAGTCTTAATTGTCTTGAGCTTATTTTAAGAACAATAATATCAATCATCAAAATAATATAATTTTATTTATATTAAATCTCTAATAAGGGTTAAATTTTCTGAATATTAACAATAAGTACAACATTTATAATGGGAATATAATATTTAAATAGAAAGTATTGAAGCATTTGATCGATATTTATTAGCATAAATATTTATGTATTCAGCAAACCTAGAATTATATAGTTGTATGAAACCTTTTTTAAGCTATCAAAAAATGTTTTCAATTAAAAATATTAATAATGAATAGAACATTAAAACTTACAGAATTACACGCATTAAATTATTACACAAAAGACATGTTTTTGTAGAATAGAAAATTATTATCCAAGAACATTTTTTTTATTTGAATATATATTAAGTACAGAATTATTTATTAATTTTCCTACATTTATGATGTACCTTTTATAATTATTTTTCAAAAATAAATTGTACGTAAAAAAAGTCCCCTTATACAGCACTTACATGGTTTTATATAATTAACATATTCTGTTTATTTTTTTTTTAATAAATATACAAGTTTTATAGACATATAGTAAAGGTGATATTCGATATACTAGAATTTAAATTGGATCAATTAGATTTGTTTTTCAAAAATATTGAAATTACAGAAAATATTTGCTTAGTTATGAATACTTCACATTTTATTTATAAATGTATTAAATTATATTTAATACATAATATGTATTAAGTATTTAATACATAATATTATTAAATATAATTTAATACATAATATATTAATATATTATCTAGAAATTATAATAAATTATTTATAATATATTATTAACAATTAAATTGTTTACATTCTAAGATTAGTTTCAATATTTAAATCCTTTTCTCAATAATTATGTACTATTATTCACAATTATTAAATTATTCAGACTTTCATCAAAAATATTCAACTACTAGACACGTAAAATAAAAAAGAGTTTTTTTTTACTTTTTTTTTCTAGCTAAATAATTTCTTAAAGGAAATATAATCTAGGTTCAATGAGAAGTAGTCAAGGTATAGATTTTGAAGAATATATCAATATATTTATCAATATATCAATATATTTAATAATTTGAATTATAAATTTAAAACAAGTTTAAAACAATATAATTAAGATATTGACATTTTTTATAAAATTCTAAAGTTTATAAAATGGCATAAGGTTAGTGATACATTTATAAGTAATAAAATGTTGAGGTATAATTTATTTTATATGCATATATATATATATATATATATATATATATATATATATATATTATTTATAATTTCAATAGCCTCCCTCTTTTGAAATCTAATTTTCGTCACGACTAGAAATCTACGGCTAACCGTTTATCGCTAATATAGACAATGATATTTTGTATATTGCATAATTGTAATAAAGTAGTAAAATTGATATATCGAGATTGTAATATTTTAACGAGTTTTGAAAATTACGTAACATTATTTAATTTGCTACAGTTATTTTGTCTGCAAAATCTGATAGCTTGGGGAAGCAAGGACCAATCATCTTAAAATTTTCCTACCTTGTAAATAATTCTTAAACCATCCAATTACATTTCTATAGTTCACACGGTTATGGCTGACCACAATCCATAATTCCCAATTCCATTTTCTAAATTAGTTGACTAGTCAATAATCAGAAGACGAGGTCTTTTCAATTACTTTGATAAATAATTTATACGTTTTTAATAAAGTTACGATTAAAGGTAGAAGACAATATTTTAAAGTATAAATTTTAGAAATAATAGATTTGGATGTACTGGAATTTTTAAGCGTAATGTTAATATTTTTGGTTGCCTGATAACTTAAGGTATAAGTTAATCGAATATTTTTAAAAGATCAATTCAAGTTATTTCTTAAAGAAAAAGTACTAATACGTTAGTATAGCCTTTTTTATAAGCAATTTTTTATCATAAAATTGCCATAATATTGTTCATGAAATTTCTAAAGACATTTTTCAGAAAGTGAGAAACTTTAGATTACAATGTCTGGAGAAGTTGTAGTTGATGCTCTACCTTACATAGATCAGGGATATGATGAACCAGGTGTCAGAGAAGCGGTATTTAAAATACATTTACTTAATTCTAATTCATTATAATTAAGGGTATTAATGAAATCAAAATAAATTATTCAAGGCCCTTAGCATGGTCGATGAAGAAACAAGACGTTACAGACCAACCAAAAATTATCTAGAGCATTTACCAGTATTAAATATTGTTGCTTTTGAAACAGATGTATTAAAACACGAATTTGAACGATTACAAAGTCGCCATCCTATGGAAGTTTTAAGTATGAAACGTTATGAACTACCTCCACCACCACCAGGGAAAATGAATGATCTTGCAGCATGGAGTGAAAGCGTAGAAAACAGTTTTGCACAATTAGAACATCAAGCGACTCGGTAAATAATCCTATTTTAGCTTATTTAATTAGCAGATCGCTTATTCATATCCTTTTTGATTATATAATAAAAAATAATTATTAATATTAAATTATTATTATTTTTTTTTTATATATTAAACATCTTCAATTATTATTTATTTCTAATAATGAATCATTATTTAATAATTTCTTGATTTTTATTTAAAGCTTATGTTTATATATCAAAATAATCAAAATTTATTTTATGAATAATAAAGTACTAGAATTAATGTTTATAAACTGTAATTAATATCAAACATTTATTAATCAGTTTAATAATTTTTTTGTATAAAATATTTGTAAGTTATAACTATAACATTTGAGTAATATATACGTAAGTGAGTTATTGATAAAAAGTTAATTTACCAATAACAATTATTGAATAAATAATTAGGTTTTCAAGCATAATTAATAATAATTTGTGTGTGTTTTAATATTAATAATATTAATGTTGTTTTATTTTTTATAAACTATTTTGTTTTATATTTAATATTATCAAGATTAATTTTTATTTAAATTCAAAAATTAAGAATTTATAAGCATTACAAAATGTATATACTCAAATCTATTATTAAGAAACAAAAGTATTTACTTATTAATATCTTAATACTTTTTCGAATTATTAATATAATTAGAAAAACGAGTAAAATAACATTATTAGCAAATTTGATTATTTATAATAAATTTCTAAAAGTATGTATTATTTTTCTTCATTCAATGAATAAATTTTTGATTATTCAATTGACTAATAAACTTTAAATGCTTTTTTATATATTTCAGAATTTGCAATTTAGAACTGATGATGATCTATGGCTGTGAAATTTGGAAAGTATATTTAAAGGTATTGGTGAAATTAGTTGCAGGAGCTCAAAAACAAATCCAAGCACTTAGAAAAATGATACAAGAAGTAAATTGGCAAAGGAAGTCTATGCAAACTCAGGGAGGAGAAAACTTACGAGCACTTGAAGCCGAATGGGTAGGATTAGTTTCAAAGAACTATGAAATAGAACAAGCTTGTGTTTACTTAGAAGATGAAATAAACAAAATTACTATACAAAGAGGAGGGCATCTGGTAGAAATAAATGAAGTTCCTGGCGAAGAACAAGAAAACGTCTTACATCAAAACTTAGAATTATAATAAGACTGACATTTTCAAATAATAAATAATAAATATGTTTTTTATAGCTCAACTTTACATGTATTATATTTTTAATTGAAATTATGTAATTAGTAATTTATTGCTATTAATTTTGTATGATTTTCTTATAAAACGATTGTTAAGTTGTATGATATGAAGACCAAATTTTGAAATGTTACATATGCATTAATAGAGAATTAATATGTTTTTTGTAATTAAAAAATTCATTTTCTTATTTATTTATACCAAGATCATTGCAACTCATATACATAAAACTCATTATTTGTGAATATTTTTTACATGTTTAAAAAAATACGTTTATATATTTTATTTATTTAAAATTTGTGTTTTAATATTAATTTTAAAGTATTACAGCTATTACATTAAGATTAATCTCAATTTAGTATTGATAATATGAAGCATTATTATTTAATAATCCGAACAAAAGTTAAAAATATTTAAAATTATTTTCAACTAGATAGATTATTTCTAATTATTTGTATTTTAATTTTATAATTATTTCTAAGCAATGTCTAAATTAGCTTTAATCAAAGTTCGATTTCTCAAATTGTAATAATTTATTATGATAATAAATTGGTATTTAGAAATATAATAAAAATAGAAAGAAGCAATGAAAGATAAAATAAAAAAATGGAAAAATATATTTTGGAAAAAGGAAATAAGATAAAATTGTGGAATATATGATTTAAAAAAAAAATAAAAAGTTAACTTGTACATGTATTTTGAAAAAATATAAAAGATAATGGCTGTATAAAAAATAAATATAAATCGTGTCCCAATAAGAACACAAATAATATAAGCCAAGATAATTTTTTTTTCTCGTTACATGGTTACTTTTAGTAATATATATAATGAAATTAAATAAAATTTAAATGTTTTAAAAAAATTCTTTTTACATCTTCAAAATTTGAAAACATAATACCAATATAGAATTTTAATCCGTATACAAATTAATTAATTAATACAAATTCAGAATCAGTGATTATTTCCAACTATATGGGATTCAGGTTATATACTGAATAATATTATTAAATTTGTTAATGAAGTTACCACAATTATGAACGTACTTTCAAGATTATAAAGTATTAATCTTTATTTATTATTTTATAAAAAAATATTATAAATAATTTTTATTCTATTCTTATAAATTATATAATCGCACTAACTTATGATACTTTTATATTATATTAAACAAACTTATAATTCTAATTATATTGTCCATTCTTTTGCATGTATTTGCGTGTATGCGTGTATACATACATTACAGACTCAAAAGTTTATTCTTGCCTTTTTTCATAAAATTATGCTGATCCTCGTGATGAAAACGTCATATTTTAATTATTTATTTCAATATATATTTCAAAACATTCAATATTGTTTTATTCTCATTTCAAATTTTTTAAATTGTAAAAAAGTTTATCATTTTATTTAATAAGAACATTGTTAGTCGAATTTTTAAACTATTTTAATTATATGTATTTCTTATAATTTATGAACTGTCTATACCTTGTTAGTTTATAAAAAATTTGATATAATTTTACTTTTATTATTTATTTACACATATCGTTTAACTTTCGCAATTAAACACAAATTTATCGATGGATTTCCATATAGAAAATTATTGTTTAATTTAAGCATAATTAGGTAAAGTTGTTTAATTTGAAAAATTAATAATTTATTAGTTTTTTGTTAACTTGAGGTAGACTAAAGTGAAAAAAATCATAAATTCAATTTTGAAAAAGTTTATAATTAGATTAATTTGCTCATATAACGAATTTCATTCCAAAAATTAATTATCCAAGGAAGCAAATTTTCAGACAAACCGTCAAATATAAAATGAATAGTTGGGGAGGGGAATCATTCTGCTACTTAAAAACATTAATTACTATTTTTTGTTTTTTTTTTTTTTGTGTCAATACTAAAATTAATATTAAAGATCTTTATTAATACAATAGACTAATATTCTTAAAGATGGATGGTATGATTGATTAAACATAAAATTAAGATAATCTATTTTTATTACATACTATTATCAAAGTTTATATCAAATTATATCAATATTATTATTTATCACTTATTCCAACTATTATCACTATGTATAGGTGAAAGTTGACGAGCATACCTCATCTCTGCTCTCTTGCGTACACCAAAAGAGGAAAGAGATCTTCTTTCTAATCATCTCCTTTGATCACAACGAATTGACAATTGTACATTTAACAAAAAGTACGAAGAATAATTCACTACCCCCATTTCTTTTCTTTGTTTAGTGTTTTAAAAAGTCATTAAAAATGTTTGTGGAAAAACCACAAATTATAAAAAATAGACGATTTAAACAAAAATATAAAAACAATTTTTTATTAGTTATGCATGACATAATTATAAAAGATTATAATAAATATATATACAAAGAGAATGTGAATCATTGTTGATGTAATTGAATGTAATAATGTGTTTAAAATTCATTACGTAATACAAAAGGTAAATGGCAATTTGTAAAAAAAAAATATATTAATGGAACTAGTTTTTTCATTCTTATATTGAACTAAGGTATTATTGTAATTTATACTTTAAAATAAGTTGATGTAAAATATTTAAGGATGTGTATGTCGAATATAATCAAATATTTTCAATCAATAAAAAGTATATAATTTAACCATCATTTTTATATCAATTTAACTTAATATAACACATTGATTAATAAACTAGTCGTAATATGATTTTATGATTTAAATTTAATGACAAATTATACTTTGGCATTAATGATGATTCTAAAATAAATACAATATGATGAAAGACAACAAATTATTTTATATAAAAAAAAATAATTAAAGTTCCAGTTGAATAATTTTATGATTATAATTATTAAAACTCATAATGTAAGCTAAGATGTAAATTCTTTACTGAAAATTAAATACTATATTATCGAATCATTGTTTTTAGAAATGTTTTATTAATTTTTGTGAAATGTGTCAGTCACGAATATTTAAATATTTATAATTTTATATAGATTTATAATTTTCAGATCAAAGCGAAAATTTACAAATGTCAGATTTCTTTGAAAATTAATTACAGAAAATTTGAGAAAAAGAAAATTTCGATTTGGAAAATATCGATTTTGCGAGAAATAGAGAAGATAAAAGTATGAAAAGCTGAAGAAATGTTAATACCAATTTTAAAACACTTTGACAAAGAGTAGAGAAGTTAGCACAAAAACAAAACATTTATACTACAATGTTTGATATTCAATACAAACTCTTTATTTGCCTAAATAATAGACATTATATGCTTGAAATTTGAATAAGAGAAATAGTTTTCATGTAGGATATAGGTTTGAGAAAAAAAGACTGTATTAAGTAAATAAATAAAAATCCGTAGAAATCGATATAACGTATTTATTCATTGCTCTCTACGTAATTGTTTTCAATTAAAGATAGATTAATTTAAATTATTGGACTCGTAATCTAAAGATATTCTCTTGATTTATTTAAAATTTTAGTTTAAGTGAAATATTTTTATTACAAAACTATTTCTCCGTCATGAACAAACATTAACGACCACTGAGTTAATTTAATACTAGGAAAAAAATCATAAAACTACCACGAAGTTTGGTCAGTGTTACTATTTTGTTCCTTCGCGCTTATCTTTTCTCACAAACTAAAAAACTTGCATTTGTACAAGAGGAAAATGAATAACAGACTAAAAAATATTTATTACGTCTCTTTGACATTAATGTCTTATTCTTTATGAATCGCGATACTAAAATAAAATTTTGATTACCATAACATTATAAACAGTTTTCGTTATACTTTTAAATAAGAACTTAAATAAACAAAAAAAAAAATAAAAATAATAATAATTCAAATGATAAATTTGTAAAATTCTCTATGAAAAGTTATTATAAAGAACATTTTCTTAAATACATTTTAAATAAATTGGAAATTATATACTACCAGTGAACATTTATTACCATTTAAATAATTTTCATATCCGAATACCCAGGCTTCATTAAATCCTTTTGTTCGTATTTATTAATACTTCGTACATTACCAATGCCTTATTTATAAAATTAAAGAATTTTTAATTGTTTGAACTTGTATGATTATCGTGTTCTGAAAAATCACTTTGTAAAATAATTATAATAATATTATAATCATAAGTGAATAATAATAATAATAATAATAATAATAATAATAATAATAATTGAAAATAATTTATTTGGTAGAAAAATTAGATTTACAGAATGTCAATATATTGATGGGAATTATAATGTCCTGTCCATATTATCCATGTCGTAATCTCAAAATATCTTCAAAAGTAACCAAACATTGGACAAATTTTGTAGATAGTTTTTTAAAATTATCTCTTCAACATATTCATTCATTATATTTTAGTTAAACTTAAAATTTCATCGTCAATTCAAATCGGGAATACCCATAAATCTTAATTGTATGTAAATTATTAACATTGCTATTATAATTTAATCGATAAAAAGCTATTATCACTTGAATCGGGCGTGAGCACATTCTCAACAGCAATCGACCACATGGATACAGAACCTGATTGACCATCCAATGGGCACTTGTGCGTAGTTCGAGAAATGCACTTCAGATGGCCAATCATAAGGTTACAAAGTTATACGAGCGAAGGAGCGATCGAGGAAGGACGGCAAGAGCATAACTAGAAGACAGTAATGGCTGTATTACTGTCGTTTGTTCGTATAGTTCTTGCGACAAGATATATTATTTCTTAAAGTTAATCGGTATTGTTCATGCGTAGCTATGTTTGATTTACTCGAGAGTCAATAGCCAGCGGGCGTTGATCGTGTTAAAGGTACACTTTATCCTGGAGTACAAATTTTGGTACTATTAAAGCTACCCGGGAAAGGCGTGGATCATAACCTCAAACGTACGCGAAGGCAGAAGAATTGTTGTTCTTGTTAGAAAAGGAGAATACAATGGCAATGAGCGAGGACTTTAGTTTTGCCGAGTTGTGCAGACTCTGTTCATTGAAAAGTAATCATCAGATGCAAATTTTTGATAAAGAGGGCGAGCAGAGACAGCTACTCTTCAAAATACGGTCGTGTATACCGGCGGTGGTGAGTAAAGCAAGTCATATCCACCGAACGCGGGTCATATTTTTATATGATTAGGGGGAAAATAATTACTTTCTGTACGTGCATGTAGGGTTTGGTGCATATACATAATAATGCCCGAAGTACGCGATAAGGCTAATTCTAAAATTATCTATCTTCAGCTATACTTTGTACTGTCACTTTTTATTTGGCAAGATTAATCCAAACTGTCTTCATTTTTATGTTGTAGATAACTAAAGAAGATGCTTTACCGAAAAATATTTGTCAGAGGTGTGTGTATAAATTGGATATGTTTTATGAATTTCGTGTAAGCTGCATGACAACTGACACAGTCTTAAAAAATTATGCAGATAGTTTAAAACATTTAGCAGCATCGGTAAATCACCAGGTAAAGCGATATTATATTTCTTTATACATATGTTAAATTGGTAAATACATATTTATGAAATATACTCTCAATATATTATTTAAATTAAAATGTCTTCAATGGTTATAAGTACTTAATAAAATTGGATAGCATATAGTGATATCGATATAGAAAATGCATTATTAAAAGTTATTATCAATAAGAATAACAGATTCTTATGCATTTACATATAAAATATCACAATACGTGCATAAGAATTATCAAGAATCCATAAAATTACATTTAAATGTCATTAATTTATACATTTACATAACATGTATAAATCAAATCAACGATGGATCAATTTTATCATTAATTAAATACAATTAAATAGATAATACATTTTTTAATAAGTTATTGAAATTATGTTTTAGGGAATTTTTTTATTTATTAATAAACATTTGCGATTACTTTTCTCTTGAAATTAATTGGAATTAAACGATTAAACATTATCATTTAAATTTTACAATCATCTGTAGCTACTATAGCTATTATATATATATATATATATATATATATATATATATAAACATATTTGCTTGTTTTATAAGCACTCGGTAATACGTTAATGTTTCTGATACAAATGCCTCGGAAACAGCATACTATTGTTGCACCTTCAACGCTGCTATTGTGCACTTGAGCGCGCATGCGCAGATTGTCATGCTTAAACCTGACTGGCAGAAATGAGAGCGTAATTACAATCAGTTACTATCCCAGAACTCAATTCCTATTTATTTCGGAAGTAGGATAGTAGTAAGTAGATAATAATTAAATTATCGTTTTCATTTTAGTTTTGAAAATGTAAACTTAAAATCATCGATAGGTCAGTCTGTCTAATTTTAACTTGCATTCTTGAGGTTGAGCCCATGACGTTTGTGAGTAAAATCAATGCTCCACATCAGAATTACTACTACATACAATGAAATTTATGTAGCTTACCATACAGAATATAATTTATTAACGCATTTAACGAAGTATTTTTATATGTTCGTACTATTGTTTTGCAGCGCTATTGTCGAGTGATTTAAGTAAAAAATTTAATATTTTGCATAGCAGTCATGCATTGCGGATAAATAGTATAAATTAGCAGATGGATCGTAATACTGGGTGAATGAAGCACGTGGCTAAGTGAGTAGTTAGTGACCGGAAATTCGTAAATGCAAAAAGTTTAAGTAGATTTTAAACGACACAGAGCCGATGGTGCCAAAGGAAAAAGGAGATATCGGGAAGAAGATAAGGGTACTCGACCTCCTCCCTCGGCCAACTTCAGGCAAGGGGTTGCGGCCACCCTTCGACGTAGGGTGTGTGCGCGCACGTGTGGGTGTTGCAATCGCAACCTCCACGTCTCCTCGTTGGCGAGACGCTATATTGATCGGCTCGCGTGAGGTCCGGCCGGTCTTCCCTACCTCTGACATACTCAACCCCTCCCCCACCCTATAATTCGCCCACGCGACACGCGCCTCATCTACTCTATTTTAATGTACAGAGACAAAAGAAAGCGAAAGTCGAGCTTTCTGTTACATATTTTTCTTTTTCGTTTAGTCGTGCATTCCGCATTCTTTCTCTCCGTCTTTATTTTTCCAATCATTTCTATTTCATCAAGTAAATTAGGACTTTGCTGTTGTTTCCTTTGTTTACTACTACTACTACTACGTTTGCTTGGTCACGGTACACTGAACCTGCCAAATCGTTAGAGACTTAATTCGCGTATTGCTTTATCGGTTCTATTTATTGTTTTAGTTTTCATCTACTCACCTTTTTTGCATCAACCCTTTTCACCTTTTCACTTTTTCTCTTCGTTTTATGTTATTCGGTGCCTCTATTCCTTTTAGTCTTAATGCTTATAGTGTTTATATAATCTATATATTTTATATAATTTTTATAATTTATATAATTCTATATAATTTATATAATCTATTGTAACTTGATTACCATAAAAACCTTAAAATTTTCTTATGTCATATTAAATTCCTTATATTCTCTTATTAATACAGAAATAAATTAACATAAAACGTATTTCAAAATGGAATTTATAGATAGAGAGCTAGATTGATAGATATTTAATATATAATGAAACGATACGAAAGTAGACTTTACTAATTAGTTTCTATAATAATTATTGAATAAAATTGATTCAATATATATTTAATAAAAAATTAACGGACATCGTAACCCAAACGACTAAAGTTTAAAAACTACAACCCTTCAAAATTAAAAAATCTAATTTATTTTAAGATAGTAGTATAGTATTATCATGTGATATAATATAAATATGTAATAATAGCAAATGTGTCGAATTAGAATATTGTATTAAAGTAATCGTATTAAAAAGTAATTTCACGTTACTAGATTAACTGAGGATAAAATCTCATTTGAGTTTAACGATTAATTGTGCTACAATTGTAAAAAGAATAATTACAATATTTATTTTTAAAAAATTGTTATATAAAATTTGTAATTGTTGATTATTTTCAAATTGTATAATTTAATTTTCTCTGTTTGATAAAACATTTTATATTTAGTTGATTTTAATTTATCAGATATCACTTAGTATTTTAATAAATAAGTAATAAAATTATTAAAAATTGTAAGAGTTTTGCAAAGTTTAATAGAGTTAGGTGAAACTGTTTAATTTAAACAATAGGAACTCTGTCATACAACATATTTTAATGAAATGTGTTCATATCAAATTAATAAATAAAATTCTCATGTTATAGAAAATGTTCGATTACATAGTAGTAGTTCAATAAAACAATATTCGGTTAAATTTTATAATAATCAAGAAAATTTAATTAGAGTAATATAAATTTGCTTCTGTCTATAGTGTAATATAATAATTTATCTTCACTATGTAAATTTATAACAAATTACAACAAGATAAAACGGCTTATTTTTTTTAATAAAATATCCAAAAGAATTTCTAATATAGTATATGACAAATATTAAATTAATTATAAAGATGCTTTAGATTAAATAAAAAATAATAAGTAAATTTATATTAATATAAAAAAAAACGAGAGAAGAATTTAAGTCAATATAGATAAAATATTTAGTTTGGAATTGTTAATAGATTAAAAGTGCATTAATATAAACTATGCTAGTTGTTCTTATAATTATAAAAATACATTGTAATAAATTACATAAGTAATAGTGAAAATAATAAAATTAAACAATTGGGGAATTATATTATGAAAATACTTGAATTTATTTTACTATAAAAAAATGGACTTTTATTTTTCATTCGGTAATATTACTTTTATTTCTTTGTTAATATCAAATATAATATGTAGCAAAGTAAAATAAAGAAAATAAAAGATGCAATAAATGATATATTGATGGGTTATATTATATACTCTTACATTTCTTCAATATGGGTAATTAAATCATACGGATTAAGATAATGTTTATGCGTTCAAAATAAGCTTATCGGACAGATAAAAAAATTTTCAATGCTTTTCCCGTTTCTCTTCGTTTTGAAAGTTTGTCTTTCAATTCCAACGAAATCGGTTGCTCGCTCATTGGCAATTCCTTTGAAAAATTATCGTTGTTTATCAGGATGGGGAAGACTAAAGGCAAGTCGAATGTTGACCGTGTGATTCTTTTTCTTCGATTACAGGTGCAGAACCGCGCGTCATTCTCTCTCTCTCTCTCTCTCTCTCACTCACTCACTCACTCACTCACTCACTCACTCACTCACTCACTCACTCACTCACTCACTCACTCACTCACTCACTCACTCACTCACTCACTCACTCACTCACTCACTCACTCACTCACTCACTCGCTCTCTCACTTTCAACATATACGCACACGTGCGCGCGCGCGCGCGAGAGATAGAGAGAGAGAGAGAGAGAGAGAGAGAGAGTGTAGTAGTAGACAGACTCGTACTCCTTTTTTCCGCGAGCATCACAGGGCGTTTTTAACGATCCGGTCGCGCGCATAGCTTCGGTCGCCTCAGCCACTGGCAATCGTGCAGACGCGGCTCTGCACGTAAAACCTGTTCCTGCCATGGCTCGCGATGAAAAAAGGGGGGATCCCCCTACGTATCTTCGCTCTCTTCGGCATCCTCGTCGTCTTACTTTCGCGGTGCAGACGGTACACTTACTTTGTCATCGTACCGTGCACCGCGCCACTGACGCGAGAGGGATACGTTGTACGCCTTTTACGAACTCCCCCGGCTTAATAAGTGAAGAACCTCGGGTGCGTAATGAATGACTTTTTTTGACTTGGGATTTCAGCTGAATTGTCTAAAATTACCGAGTGGACAAGAGCTAATCGTTTCCATATGCTAATACACGAAGCTATCCTTACTTAAATGTCCCATTGAAATTCATGTCAAACATTAACGAGACAAGTTCTTTAATTGGGGAAACCGGACAGGATAATTGCAAAGCTCTCTACTTTGTCCTTCTCGGGAGTAATGCTTTGATTTAACAAGTAAACTCCCTTATCTGTCATCAATCCTTTTTTTTTTTTTTTTTTTTAATTTTATTATAATTTTTTAAGTTTACTCTCATTTTTCTCGTTTTTTTTTTTATTCTTTTTTTCTCTTCTTTGTTAAACATTATATTCCTTTTATTGTTTTAATCGGACAGGCATCGTCCATTTTTATTTTGTATTTCATTGCGATTTCAAGATCGTTAAATAAGCTCGTATAACAGCTACTCACATCGATCGTGTCTTTCATATAATCATTCTTTAATTTTTGAAATAAAATCATGTCATTGCAACACAAAAATAATGATATACGAATATTTTATTTTTATTATATATATATAATACTAGCGAGATAAATGTTTTAGAAAACAATAATATCCCTGGTATCCCTGGTAAATTAAATATTTTTCATAATATGTATGTAGAATAGTGGTAATTTTATAATTTATAGAAGTTAGTAATACAAAACTTCGAATGAACAAACAATTAATTAATACTAGGACTTTTGTATATTATTACTACATTGAACTTTGGAAATATTTGGA